GGCGGCCCGTGGGCGCCCAAAGGCGCGCTCGAGCCAGAGCGGTTCTTGGGAGGAGGAGGAGGAGGAGGAGGAGGAGGAGGAGGAGGAGGAGGAGGAGGAGAAGAGGCCCCTGGAAGAGTGATGCAGCCATGTACGGATGTTGCGACCAAGCCACCCCCAGGGGCCCTCGGCCCCAATGTTGAGCCAGCCGCAGCTGACGGAGGAAAAATCGAAAATTGCGCGGCGCCCGGCGCGAGCATCGACACTGCAGGGCGCAGGCAGATGGACCGCCCGCGAGAGCTGCATGACCTGCCCAGGGTAGCGCAAGATCGGTGTACCCAGACATGCTCGCCGAGCCCCGTGGCCGTCAAGAACACGGCTCGGGATGAAAAGGCCGGCCTGGGAAAGCAGGAGGGGATCTGCCCAGACATGCAACGCCTTGACGTGTTCAGTGCGTGGACGCCGGGAAGTCTCGACCCATCCCCTGGCACCGGCTCCTCGTCCCGAGTCGTGCTCGGCAGCCCCCTGCCTGGCGAGGGCCCCCGGGGACCGAGAATGGCCACAGACCGTCGGTCCTGCCTTCTCCACGACGCGACGGGGTCTGGGTACACCGATCCTGGGCCCAGGATCGGCCTGGCAGGAGGAGGAGGAGGAGGAGGTGGAGGAGGAGGAGGAGGAGGAGGAGGAGGAGGAGGGGGAGGGGGAGGGGGAGGAGGGGGAACATCATGAGGAGGAGGAGGAGGAGGAGGAGGAGGAGGCGGAACACCATGAGGAGGAGGAGGCGGAGCAGGAGGATCAGGAGGAGAAGGAGAAGGAGGAGGAGAAGAACGAGGAGGGGAACGAGGACGAGGAGGAGATTTGGTGCAGGCGTGTATACGCTCGGGCTCTCTTGCTCCACGTGCCGCGGCGGCGGCCCCGGCGACAGGCTCTGCCCTGCAAGCGAGGGGGGCGGGTCCGCCCGCGCTCCGCGGGGCGGGAGGCTCGGAAGCGCGCTCGGGGCGCGGACGCTATATGGGGGTGGGGACGCCAGTCGAACGCCGCGCAGTCGGCGCCGGGTGCCCAGACGTCCGAGGATGCGGTTTCCTCCATCCGCAGCCTCCAAGACGACCGAAAGAGGCCCCCAAGAAAGCCCGGAGACGGCCCCGGAGGC